AAAAAAAAAAAATTCTACCACCATTAGGCAGTAACTGATGTCATTCAGATCAATGCAATTTAAATATTCTCAGATTTTCCTAACACCAGTAGAGCTAAAATTGGGGGAAAGACTAAGATAAGCCTAGATATGGATTCTTGTACCACTGTTTGATTTGCTTTTCTGACAATGAACAAAGTGACTTCTCTCATTAGCAGTTTCTCCAAAATCCTGAGTAAAATAGTATCAATCTGGTATTTTCAAGTAGACAAAGTGCTTTATCACAGTACCTAGTCACATAGGAATCATTCAACACACTGAAGAGTATTACAAAGGAATTATCTTGAGAAATGGCAAAACCATGTTGAGGGATTATGGGACAAAATGTACATTTTGTTTTATCCATCAGCCTTAAAATGTATAATTCCCCCTGGTGGAGATGGAGAATTTTTCTTTTGGATTATCAGCCCAACAGGCAAGGCAGGGCATCTAGTACTGCCAGGGACATGGGTATCCTCTAAGTTGCCTTCGGACAGTAAGAACATGAGATTGTATTTCCAGCTATCCACGCTAGGTCTTTAAGAAACAAAAGTATGATGTGAATATCTTCTGTCATCTATTTTCCAAGGGAACCTACCTAGTTCCATTAAAATTTGGGAATCAACTTATTAACCAGTTTTTGTCCCATTTCCCACCCAGCTAATTGGAGAAAGGTAAACCTCCCCCCACTTCACAGAAATGTAGGAAAAAGGTTCAGAATGGAACACTAATTCAGTGAACTGGGAACCAAAGAAATAATTAAGAGTGTAGGAGTCTCTCCAACCCTATTCCAAATTCATAACACAAAATTGCAAAGACATTTATCTTCCTTGCCGCCACACTAAAAATCAAATAATTATTTTAAGATAAAAAACTAGGAACAGGGTTACACACAATGAATTCCAAATTAAAAGGGAAAAAAAAGAGTTAAAGACCAATAAACCACCAACATCAGACCAGAATCCGTTTCCAGTCTCTTTTAATAATAGATTTAGAAAAATAAGTTTCATCTTAAGATGTAGCGCTGATTATGCAATCAAAATAGACTCTTTCAGTTCTCATGATGAAATTCGTTAGCCAGGGGAGAAACAGCTTCATGACAATCTGCCCAGGCCAGGGCTGGCCTCTAGCACCACGTTCTGAAATGGCTGTACCAGTTGTACCCTTACACTTTCAGGGAAACCATGAGAGGTCAAATACCCTAGTCCCCTCGGAGAAGAAACTTGACCTTCAACAACCTAACCCCATACACTTCCAAAGCTACTCCAGGACTAAGATTTTCAATCCCTATTCAACTGCACTCTGGGATGGTTTTGAGGATACTTTAACTTTAATCCAGTAAGTATTAATAATGAAAGGCTAAATCTGAAAACTATACTACCTCATATTAAACACATCCCGAGTTTTAAAAATATGCTTCACTTCATACAACAAATTAATTTGTTGTATGAATTAACCAAAGAAATAGATCTCAGACCATGAAGTGTTCATGTGGTCAGCCAAGTTGAAACAGAGTACTGGTTACACAAACTTCTGTGTGAGGAACAGCAAGAATCTAGAATTTAGTCCCAAATAAGAACAAAACTTTCTAGTTACTTCATCTCCACCCCTGCCAATAGTTTTATAGAGATATAATTCACATATCATACTCTTC